TCTAACGATGCTCAAGCTCCTCGTGTAGAATGATGTGCTGTTTTCCATGTAACTGGTTCATTGCCTCTGAGTGTGGTGACACACACACAGATACCATCTCTCTGGAGGCTGAGACCAGAGAGTTAGAGTGTTAGAGTCTAACCTGGCTACATAGGGAGTTCTGAGCTATCCTGGACTACTAAGTAAGACCCTGTCTAAATAAACAAGTAACAGAGACAATAGAAGAAAACCAGAGGGGCTGGAGAGATGGCTCAGAGGTTAAGAGCACTGATTGTTCTTCCAGAGGTCCTGAGTTCAATTCCCAGCAACCACATGGTGGCTCACAACCATCTGCAATGAAATCTGATGCCCTCTTCTGGCCTGCAGGCACACATGCAGAAAGAACACTGTAAACAAAATAAATAAATAAATCTTAAAAAAAAAAAAGAAAACCAGAAAGTACAGACATGCGTAATTCAGGATTTTTTTTTCCAGTAGCTTTGATTTGAGCCAAAGTTAGTTGAATCCTTGGGTGTGGAACCAGCATCCCCAGAGGGAAAGGCAGGCTGTATAATTTGAGGTTGACGCAGTAGTGAGCTGTACCGTGTTCTGACTGCCCCTCCTCGCCTCCACAGTACTCTCCCAGCATGCGGGCCACCTACATGTCCGTGGCAGATGAGCACCTGAGACACTACGAGTTCCCATCGTAGCAGCTTCCGGGGTACCTGCCGCCTCCTGCCAGCTTGGTTTTCAGCAAATGCAGATCCCAGCTGTGTTTCTGTAACAGAAACTGAAAAGTTCCCAGACGGGCAGGCTCCTGTGGCAGCAGGGACACAGCTGGCACTCCTGACCAGAGCCACAGGTGGACAAGACCAGCCTCCGGCCAAGCTCTCTATCCTGGGACTCCCCAGGGCTCAGGGCCTGGTTCAGTCCCCCCTTTAAGTCCCACCCTCAGCAGAGGAGAGGAGGCAGTGAGGAGGGGACCACCCGCCGAAGAGCTCCGTTCTCTCAAGGTCCTGCCACGGGGCCCCTGGCTCTTGTTAGAGTGGCCCTAAGCCCGGGCCACACCTTCCGGTTAGTTACTCCGTCCTTGGTTCCCAGCAGGCGACAATTGGATCTGTGTTAGGAGAACACGTGGTCCAGGAACCGCATTCTGGGGCCACGCAGACTCTGCCTAGCCCACAGGATAGCATTACGAGTACTTCCCAGAGGGGATTGGTGGCTTCAAGCTGAGACGGCAGTCTGGCAGTCCTGGGCAGGAGCAGGGGAGAAAGCCTGCCACGTTCTGCCCTCTCACCTCCACCAGCCACCTCCATTCCGGAGCCAGGTCTCAGCTGCAGGCAGGGACGGTCTCAGGTATGAACGGACACTTGGAAAGCAGCCAAACTCTTGTTCCCAGTATTTTAAAACATTTTGATGATCCAAAGAGTCATACCTCCCTCACAGGCACCTCAGACCGGCTCAGGTCCTTCACCTGTTTCCAACTCTGGCTCTCACATAAGCCATGCTCCAGATCTGCAGGAGACGCTGGGAAGTGGGTTGTGGGTTTTTTGTTTTGGTGCGGGCCTTGGCCCAGAACTCACAGAGATCCACCTGCCTTTGCCTCCAGAGTACTGGGGTTAAAGCAGATTTTGCGGGGTGAGGGGGTTTTGAGACGTGATTTCTCTGTGTACCCTTGGCTGTCCTGGAATTCAATCTGTAGACCAGGCTGGCCTTAAACTCACAGAGATCCACCTGCCTCTGCCCCCAAGTGCTGGGATTAAAGGTGTGCGCTATCACGCCCAGTTCTTTTTTTTTTTTTTTTTTTTTTTTTTTAATATCACTGAGAGAATACGTCCCAGATGGCTGGAGAAGGGTATTCTGGGGCCCTGTAAAGGGATAGATGTGATAACTAAGAAGGCTTGAGGGCTTTCTCTATCTTGAAGAATAGGCATTTCCTGGCTAGGAGAAAATAATGATCCCTGTCCTGCCTACTGGAGGACCAGGTTAGGCTTCCAACTTTCTGCCAACCCAGAGTACACGACACACTAAAGCCCCGTGGCCTTGCTCACCCAAGCAGGGCCTGGGTGATTGTGTGCGACAGGACTGTTTCCATTTCAGAAGAGCCACGCAGTCATCACACTGACAGCTCCCAGCCAAGCCGCCAGGCGCTGGCCTCACTGTGTCTCCTATTAACCCGTGCATACTGTGAGCCACCTTTCTGTGTCTGTGTCCTGTGCAGATCTTGGACTGTGACCTCAAGGCATTTGCTTCTAAAGTTTCCTCTGCAGCAACGGAAGGACTTTTTAATGCATGTACATCAAACTAAAACTCCTCCGGGTTCTACAGGAGTCGGGTGGGCAAACTTCTGCTTGAAACGTCTTCGCCCTCACCTGAGCCAAGAAATAAACCACTTCTCTTAAGATGTGCAGTTGACTGCGTTGCTTACTTGCTAAGCTTTGGGGGGGACTAGCAAGGGTGCAAGCCCTCTCCACAGAGGTCGGGGAGGGAGAGACTACGAGAGGCTCCTCCTCCAGCAGCAGTGTCAGATTTCAGTGAGAGGCAAAATGGGGGCTGTGAGGAGCTGGGTAGATGGCTCAGCAGGCAAGAGTACTTGCAGCTTTTCCAGAGGATCTGAACGACACCCTCATCAAGCAGTTCACAACCCTCCTAGCTCACTCCATCTCCAGGAGATCCACTGCTCTCCCTCTGATCTTCCAGGATAACCACATACATATGATATACACACAGAGAGACATATATACACATACATAGAAACTAAGCAAATCTTGGAGCTGTAGAGATGGCTCAGTAGTTAAGAGCACTTGTTACTTTTGCTGAGGACCCGGGTTCTGTTCCCAGCACCCACATGACAACCCATGATCCTCGGACAGTTCAGTTCCAGAAGTCCTGATGCCCTCTTCTGGTCTCCATGGGCACTCAAGCATACATGAAGGAAAACACTCATACGCAGGTCTCATTATGTAGCATTGGTCGACCTGGAACTCATTGTGTAGACCAGGCTAGCCTAGAACTCAATGAGATCTGCCTGCCTCTACCTTCCAAATCCTGGAACCAAAAGGTGTATGTTACTATACCCAGCATAAAAAAACATTTTTTGTTTGCTTTGTGTTTTGAAACAGAGCTTCTCTGTGTAGCCCTGGCTGTCTTAGCACTCACTCTGTAGACCACACTAGCCTTGGCGACTTCTGTCTCCCAAATGCCGGAACTAAAGGTATTATTCCCACATCTAGCTATGAAATCTTTTTTTTAAAGGGGGGGGGGCTTTGAATGACTTTCAGGTCACAGGGATCTGTGGCCTTTGCCTAATTTTTGTTTTGTTCTTGTTTTTCGTTTGTCTGTGTGGTGATGGGGTGTGTGCGCGCCATTACATGCGTGTGTGTTGCACATACGCCAGAGAACAAAAAACATTGGCTCTTCTGCTCTACCCCCTCCCCATCTTATCCCCTTGAGATGGCGTCTCTCAATAGTCCATCAGCCAGAAACACTCCTGTCTCCCCCACTGCAGCACTAAGGTCACAGGCATGTCACACCTGGCTTTTAAGGTGGGTGCTGGGGATTTGAACTCAGGTCCTTGTGCTTACATAGCAAAAGCTCTTATCTGGCCGGGTGGTGGTAATGCACGCCTTTAATCCCAGCACTTGGAAGGCAGAGGCAGTAGGATCTTTGTGAGTTTGAGGCCAGCCTGATCTACAAGAGCTAGTTCCAGGACAGGCTCCAAAGCTACAGAGCTCTTATGTGAGCCACCTCCCTAACCTCTGCCTGTAGCCCCTCTTACAGACCAAAGCTCTCTCTGAAGGTCATCCATTGCTCCTCAGGCTGCTATAGTAAGCAGTCTCTATTAAGTGTTCACCGGGAGCCAGCAATCCTCCCTGGTATTGATATCAATTTTTCATCAGAGTAAATCTATAAAACAGTAGTTCCAACAGGTGCATCAAGAGTCAGGATCTGGATTGAGGACAGGACCAGGTGTCTCGCACAGAGCCCTGGACCCCGTGCTGGGTGACTCTGGTCAGGCAGGAGCTGCCCAGGCTGCGCTCCTCCAGTCGCCATCCGTGGGTCTGTGCTGTGTACTCCCGAGCACCTCGCCTTCAAAGGTTGCTTCTCAGGACAGGGATGACTGGACCCATGCCTCTGGGGCAGCCATTCCTCCTCCCCCGAAGTCTCTGCTGGCTCAGCAGCCCCCAGTCTGGTGCTTCCCCACTGGCAGAGTGGCCTTTCACACCCCTGCAGTTGAGCTTCCTGGAACATCCTGGAGCTCCTGGGCAAGCTGCTAGAACCTTTGGGGGTGCCTGAGGGGAGAAACTGAGAGTCACATGCAGATGAGCTCAGCGACCCAGAAGTGGACACGTGCTCTTGTGGCTTTTCCTGGGCTCTGCCGGCCCTGGGGAACCCACAGCCTTGGGTGAGCAGATGAGTAAGAAAGGTATGGGAACTCCCATAACTAGTTTGATTTGGGGGGGGGGGGGATTGCTTCTCAGCACCCAGGTGACGTAGGCTGTGGGAGCCTTTATGGTCTCTGCTAACTAGATGAAGCTTGAGTTGCAGAAGGACTCCGAGGAGTAGGAAGGCCAGGACTGGAGAGCTGGCTCCGTCTCTCTGCCGCTCATCATCTGGTTGCTCTTCCTCCAGAAGAACTGGGTTCAATCCCCAGCACCCGCATGGTAGATCCCAACCCTCTGTAACTCCAGTTCCAGGAGAGCCAACGCCCTCTTCTGGACACTGTGGGTACTACCTGCACATGGCGCACAGCCGGAAATGCGATCAGTACACCCATATACATAAAATAAAATAAACTCAAAACCTTTGTTCTCTTATTTAAAAAAAAAATAGAAAGGTAACTCTGAGTGCACAAGCCCAAGGGTAGTCACGTCAGCCCTGTGTCACCTCTCTGCCCTGAGAAAGAACCACACACTAGCTGCACGCCAAGGGAAAGTACGTGGTGGTCAGAGGTCACCGTTCACTGTCCACCGCTGAGCTTTGTCTGACTGTCATCTGGCAGTGACGTAACCGCTGACCCAGGAAGGGCCAGCTGGAGGAAGAGGATGGCTACGTAGCCTGCTCCCTGGGGAAGAACCGGACACCACAGAGGCCCTCAGTGAGCTCAGGCTTCCCTGGGAACAGATGTCCTAAACCACTGTCCCCAGTGCTTCAGATGGAACCCAGGGCCTTGCTCACGCTAGGTGGCTGCTCTGCCACTGAGCTACACTCCCAGCTCGGTACTCCCTCCTCGCTCCACACCATGCTCAAGAGGCCAGCAATGCCCACTGCCCAGTCAGATAGGAACCGTCCTTGCCAGCCCCCGTGAGCATGTTGATCTGTGCCTCCTAACCCACAAAGCCTAACTCTGTGATGGCCCCTTCCTTTCTCTGAATTCTAGGGTGGTAGGGGTGTCTGGGAAGACGTGGAGTTTCCAGATGGCCATGTAGCAGAACCAGCTCCGATTGCTTGGATACAGGTTAGCTTTTGTGGGCAAGACTCCCTTGGTCTTGTGCTTCCTGTTTTAGCTAGTTCTCTCTCTTTCTCTCTGTGTGTGCATGTGCGTGAGTGTGTGTGTGTGTGTGTGTGTGTGTGTGTGGTGTTTGTGTGGTGTCTGGTGGTTTTGGTTTTCACTTGAGACGAGGTTTCACTCTATAGCCCTGGCTAACCTGGAACTCACCATGTAGACCAGACCAGCCTGGTCAGGAGTACTGGGATTAAAAGGCACCCAACTTGGTCTAGTTTTGTTTGCTGTTTGTTCTGAGACAGTCGAATACAGCCCAGCGTGGCCTCAAATTTAGTGTGGAAGGTTGACCTTGAATTTCTCATTCTCTTGCCTGTACCACAGAAGTATGGTATCATGGTTTTACTCCATTTTAAAATTAGAAAAACAGAAAACAAAACAACAAAAAATGGTGAAAGCAGAAGGTAATGCGGAGTAGATATGATCAAAGTACATTTATTATCCATGCATAAATGTATGCATAACGAAAGCCCTAACCCTGGACTACTAATATACACCGATATAAACCACTAAGAAATCTTTCTGTAGAGGAGTTCTAAGTCCTGGTGCGATGGAGCTTGTACTTACAGCACTTAGGAGGTGGAGGCAGGAGGATCAGAAGTTCAAAGCTAGCCTGAGTTACGTGAGACCCTGTCTTAAAAAACGAGAAAGTGGGGAAGGAAGCCAGTGGTGGGGTGTAATGGACTAGGGACCTGCCTGGAGTTTGTCGGGGGGGGGGGGGCTGCTCTAAGCAAAGAATTTCTGTGGCCAGTTAAGCTGTGATTGGGTAGAAATCCGAGAAGCTGAGAAAAAAAAAAAAAGAAAGAAAGAAAGAAAAAAAAAACAACGTAGTACTTTCTGAATAGTCTAATTATATGACCTCATGCTGGCCTCCCATGGTGGTTGAGCTGGACCTGCCAAGAGCTCAAGAGCTGAGAGTGAGTGAGTGAGCCAGTGTTGGTCGGCTCTACCCAGGTCTCAGTGAGGGGAAGGGAGGGTGGTGTGGGGTGGGAAGCCGGGGATAACATCATTGTCATAATAAAAACGACTGAGTCCAATTTCCCCCACCCCCTTTTCTTATCTACACTCCACCCCCGCTTCCCTATCCAACGCATCATCAGAGGGGCCCCAGCTAGCAACCCCAGCCAAACACGTTGCTCTAGCCTGGAACCAGGGCTCAGCTCACTCCTCTGGTTCCCATCTTGTTCCACCCCCACTCCGAGACTTACTCCCCGCTCCATCCCCTGCAACTCAAAACCACTTTCTAGGGCTCAGTTCCAACCCCATATCCCACATCTTGGTGACTCATTCTTTGCCTGGCTTCATCCAAATCTCCAGTGCCCACGCCTGGCCTCAGGTTCACCTCATCCTCCGGAGCCTGTAGAGGCAAGCACAGCGCTGGCCGGGCCGCAATGCAGGCTGGGCTCTCCTCGGTGTCTGACGGCGCATCTTCCCGATACCCCGCAAAACTGTCACTGTCCTCCTTCTGTGAAGATGTAGAAAGTTAAACCCCAGAAATGGAAACTCAGGTTGGGATTGCAGTTCACTGGTAGAGCTCTGACCTTTCGGTGGCAAGGCCGTGTTCAATCCCAATACTGAAAGAATGTCTTAAGTCACGGGTCGATTATACAAGAAAGCTTTTAATTGGGGGTTTGCTTATGGTTTCAGAGGTTAGTCCATAATCATCACGGAAGAAAACATGGCAGCCTGTGGGCAGACATGATGCTGGAGAACCAGCTGAGAGCTGCATCCTGATCCGTAGGCAGCAGGAAGAGAGGGACGCTGGGCCTGGTGTGGATACTGGAAACCTCCAAGCCCACTCCCCACTAGTGACACACCTCCTCCAACAAGGCCACACCTCCTGAGCTTTTCCAGCCAGCTTGCCCAACTGGGGACTAAGCACGCATATCTGTGAGCCTGTGGAGGCCAATCTTTTTCAAACCATCACCAGGTACACGATAAATAAATGACCAGTCTAAGGTCCTCAGCTCCAAAGGCTCTTAGGGCCTTCTGGGAAGCTATATGAGATTCTGTAGTTTTCTTTCTCTTTAAAATAAATCACTGTCACGCCACCTCCTGCGGAGTCTGCGTGGTCTCTCGTGTGAGATGTGGCACAAGCTTCAATAAGAATGCCCGCAGAGAAGGTGTGTGTCTGCTGTGCTTCCTGCCCTGGAGCCCTTGTACTTCAGGCCTATGTTCTAAAAACTAGAGTCTGGTCCACCCCACCCCCCAAAATAGTATGTTTAATACTTACTATGTTAAATAGAGTTTACTAATGAGTCATTGCCATATACAAGAGTATCTGATGCTAATAAAAAAAAAGATGGGTTAATATTCAAGATAAAAAAGTTTCCAGGTTTTATCTGATGCCTATTAAAATTAAGACAAATTCAGCAAGAATAAGATAAAGTAAAAAAATAAATGCCTGTAACTTCTTAAGATTGGTTCTGAGGATGGTTAAAAAAAAAGTTAAAAATATAAAAATAAAGTTCTTCTACATAAATTACAAAAATATAAAAATACCGTAGACTGTGTGGCTGTCAACCTCAACCACTTGCCCTTAGCTCAAAATGCCATAAATTCATAACCTCGATAATGGCTTATATCAAAATTAATGCCAAACCATGTCTGGCATGACCGACCACAGACTCACACCAAAAACGTCTGTCTGATAAAAATCTGTTTTCATGTATCTAATATAATAATTCTAAAAATAGTCCATACCACATAAAAAACAATACATGCTGCTTTGTTAAACAATCTTTTCTATATATAAAAAATGAGCCTCATGTCTAGTAAAGACACATTCAGATACAATTCCTTTAAGTCTTGTGTCTGTCATTTGACAACTCCTTACCCACCTATTCCTGAGACCCTGTCCGGTCAGTCCCAGTGCTCCAGCTGAGCTGGTCTGTCGCAAATCACTGTGTGTGTGTGTGTGTGTGTGTGTGTGTGTGTACATTCATTACACTCATGTGGCATACATAGCACAAATATGGAGGTCAGAGGACAGCTTGGGGAAGTCAGCTCTCTCCTGCACCACGTGTGTCCAGGGGCACAAACCCAGGTCATCAGCTGTGGTGACAAGCCTCTTTCCCCACTAAACCATCTCACCAATCTAGATGTAACTAACCCCCCCTTCTTTAATTTTTATAAATCACTGATTTATTATTATTATTATTATTATTATTATTATTATTATTATTATTATTATGAGTGTGTACTTTGGCAGGTGTAGGTCAGAGGACACCCTTATGAAATCCATTCTCCTTTTCCGCTTTTACAGGCCTTCTAGGATTTGAACTCAGTTTCGTTTTGAGCCAAGCGCCATGGTTTTCTAAGCCCTCCCGCATTTTCTCACTGCCTTGTCGTAAGCTCAGGAGAAACACGCGTCTCACTGTGTCATTCACACTTCCATCGGTTCTTTCATTCATGGCAGTGAACCATGTTCGCTACGCGCCAAGCACACAGCTAAGCCATGCTCGAGGAATTTCCATTCTGGAGATATATTCAGAAGGGTGGTGGTTCATGGGATATGGCAGCAGAAGAGAACAGTGACAAACCAGACAATATAAGAACTGAACAGAGCAGGCTTTCACGAGCCCAGGCACAGAGCTTCCCACCCACTGGCCACTTTATTTGCGTTTTCAGAGGACTTCGCCGAACACAGAACTGTAGCCTTGGGTAGGCGTTTTGGCCAACCCCTTATGACCACTAGTGCGATTTACAAGTTGGGTTAACTTCCTTCCAGATAAGGGAGGAGAGAAGGGCTTTGCCTCCCACCAGCCGGACCATTGTCACGTGCTCCAGATCGCCTTCTCGGCCCCGCTTCTCGGCCCCCCCCCCCCGGCTGGGGTTGCTAGGCAACCGGTAAACTCCACAACTCCCAGCCGTTTGAACTGAGCCGGAGACCTGGACGTCGCTTGGGTGCTTCCCGGGTGCGCTGTGGCAGAATAAACTGAACCTAGATCAGGTACTTGAGCTCGGGAGGACGTCCAAGCGTGAAAAGAAACCCGGCGAAAGGAGGGAAGAGCCCCAAAGGGTAATAATCACCAACAGCTCAAGAAACCTAGGAGATTGCTTCTAGGAGAATTGTCGGATGCTGGAATGAGGACCAGCGCTCCCTAGCGCTCTTCCCGCTGCATTAATCCTCTTTGCCCGGACTATTCTCCAAGTTCCAGGACCTCTGCAACCCTCAAGTACTTTGCCTTCTGCACCACTACCCTACCAGGCCCTAACCCCGACTGTGTCCCGGAGTGGGCGGGACTTCTTTCGGGCTTTCAGGTGAATGAAGCAAACGTTCTGCCCGGGGAGGATGGGGCTGTTAAGAGAGCTTTCAGTTAAGAGGATGAAGAGGGAAAGGCACACGCCTGTGATCCCTGCACTCGGGAGGCGGATGCAGGAGGATTGCCAAGAGTCCGCGGTCAGCCTACACTACTTAGTAGCTTCCAGGCCAGCTGGACTAAGGGTGAGAACCAGTCTCAAAAAACTAAGAGAGGGGCCTGGAGGAATGGCTCAGCAGTTAAGAGCGAGTACTGTTCTTGCAGAGGGCTGGAGTTCGGTTTCCAGCACCCACACCAGGTGACTCACAGCCCCGCAGCTCCAGCTCCAGGGGATCTGACACTTCTGGCTTCCACCCCACAGCACTTGTGTGCACATACCCGCCCACACACGATTAAAAATGAAATCAATTTAAGAGAAGTGAGGCTAGGGAGTAATGGTGAAAGGTCACACGGGTACGGTGAACTGGGTACAGGGACCATACGTAAATGCATCCTTTTGTTTGCCCCTCAGTCTGAGAGCTAGCCTTAGCATGCCCATTAGAGTCATGAAAACATTTCTCTAACCTAGTCCGGAAGGTTCTCAGAGACACGGAGATGACGCAAAGAGCCCTCTCTCTGCATTCCTACCTCAAGCAAGGCTCCTCGGTTCCAGGCACACAGATGGGCTGCCCCACGGGACAAAGGCTGGCCCTCCTCCTGGCCTTTTTCCGGCACTGACACCCCTGCTTCCTGCCATTCCCTGGGCTCCCCTCCCAGCCGTATACCACACTTTCTGTTAAGTCGCAAGGCTTCTCTCTAGGAATGACTTTGTTCATCGTCCTCACATGAGGCAAGTTTTATTTTGCTATGGGGCGAAGGATCCACCTTGACGCTCCCCAGGAGGGTGCAGAAAATGCACGCGTGTTTTGGTGTTTGGACCAGGCTAAGGAGGTTCTTTGTGATTCTGGGTTTGGGGGTTGTTGGGGCTGGGTTTAGGTCGGTGGTAGAGTAGACCATATTTCGCAGTAGGGGCAGGTCGGGGGTAGACTATGATTCTTCATGCTTCTGGGTCTTTAGACTCCCATAGGGACAATCTCCCCTTGACACTCCTAGGCTACAATAATACTCTTGGTCCCCTCTGCTACACACACACACACACACACACACACACACACACACGCACACACACACACACACACACACACCCTGCTCAGACCCTGGGGAAGCCCCGCCCTGTAGCATTTATCTCCCCAAAGAGGGGAAAGGCTGTTGTGGTGGCAGCCTTGGCTGACCTCGTCTTTTATCTTCACCCTGCTAGCTTGTTAGGAAAGAGCCTGTGCCGGGTCCTTGAATGTGCTGTCTTCCTGTTACCAGGCTAGCCTTTAAATGTCCCCTCTGTCTGCCTCCAGACACAGGACAAAGCCTCCGTTCTCCAAGAGGCCTTGGCCTTGGGAAACACCAAGGACAGAGCAAAGCTGTTAGAGTCTGATTGGGGCTGAAGAGGCTGTTTTTGTTTTGTTTTGTTTTTTGTTTTTGTTGTTTTTGTTTTTTTTCTTCCCAGGACTTTCTCATTCTCTTAAGTGTCCTTACGTCACCTTAGGAGTCAGCTGTGCCACAGCAATCGGAGATGGAGGGAGACAGCCCCTAATTGCCTGGCTCCAGCTGCCGGGACTGGGAGGCACGGGTGCTTGCCAGGACTGGCGGAAGACAGGGAATTTAATTGACTTCTTTTGCATTCTTCTTTTTAAAAAAAAATATTTATTCATTATGTATGCAGCGTTCTGTCCGCCTGTGTGCCTGCAGGCCAGAAGAGGGCACCAGATCTCATTACAGATGGTTGTGAGCCACCATGTGGTCGCTGGGAATTGAACTCAGGATGGCTGGAACCGCAGACAGTGATCTTAACTGCTGAGCTCTCTCTCCAGCCCCTTCTTTTGCATTCTTTTCCCCAAGACTTTAATTTCACCCACACAGAACAAAGATATGGGGCACCCGTATGCGGACTGCTGCCTTGACCACCCCTCTGCCCTCTGAGACATTGCTCCCACCCTTAAGGGAGACTTTCCAATCCACTTTCTCCACGAGTATGGTTTGTGTTGGCTCTGGGAGTGGTTAGAAGCAAGCTTTTACAGTTTTGTTGTTTGTTTTCAAGACAGGGTCTCACGTAGCTCAATCTGGCCTTGAATTATGTCACTGAGGCTAGCCTTGAACTTCTGCCTGTACCCCCCAAGTACTGGGATTACAGGCCTGTGTCTCCGCGCCTTGCAGGTCATGCTCCTTCAAGGAGCACTATGTGGGTGCTAAGAGACTGGGGAGTTAACACCACCCCGTCTCCTGTCTCCTCCCTCATCCTCCTGCTCCAGCTGTTTCCTTCCACCCCGGCACCTGCTGCTAGATAGGCGTGCCCAGCTCTCAGCCTCTCGGTGTCCAGGACTCAGCAGCCAGAGCCTTGGGTGCAACTCGTTATAGTCGTGGGGTCTTATAGTTTCTGCTCTTCCATTTAAAACCACACAGCCCGTTTCGAGTTCATTGTTGTGTAGGGTATGAGGTACGGCTCTTGCCCATCTTTTTCTTAGGGGATGCCCAGTTGTCCCAGCACCGTCTGCTGAAAATACCATCCCTCCCTGCTGCATCCCCTGATGCTTTGTCAGAGATGAGCTGACCGGAAACACGAAGGGTTAGTCCTGAGCTTTTGGTTCTGTCTCAT